TTATATTATCATTTATGTATATAGTTCTTCTCTGTTCTATTTTCATAGCAGTAACTAACTTTCTTTGTAAATATTTTAATCACGTATACTAAAATGGTAGTTGATCGTGGCTTTGTAGCTTATTTTATACAAGAGTGTATATGCTCAAAAATCATGTATATATCCTTACACAAATATGTTAATCCCTGCGCCATGAGTGTATATGTTCAAAGAGCATATACATTCAAAAAGAGCATATACATTCAAAAAGAGCATAAATGCTCTTACAAAAATAAAATGTATATAAGTGCCTAAAATTTAATAAAGAACGATATAATATGTCTACCTTCAATTCTTAATAAACTATAAAGTGTATATACTTATTTGAATTTCCCTTGAGACTTTATCTTTTGAATTTGACTTGTAACTTTAATAACCCTTTCGAGACTCAATTTGACGGACTGAATTGACTGGTAACTTCGATTTGACGTATTAAGACTTAGATTCTAGAATGGTTATAGAATCAGATATTGCTATTCACATGGGTGACTTGCGGAAATTGTGGTAAAGAATGATACTTACGATTGGTTATTCAATCCCTTGATCATTACCACAGTCCTTAGGATTATCCTTTGTTATCACCCTTAATGGCATTACCTGTCATTGCTTCGCCCATTATCATCGTTTATTAATATCAAAGTATTACTCTAAGTACCATATCACTCTACTAGATCCTTAACATATATAAAAGTTCCATTTCACTTACCCAAAGTTAGCCTTATTATCTATACACCATTGGAGTTAGATTGGCATCATTTCTGTATTATTTTATTAGCTCCCCCATTCAACGGTTATACTAGTAGTAACCTTGGATTTCTGTGGCTCTGCTAATTACAAATTTGGAAAGTAAATAAATATTTTATATCAAACATTACAACTTTTATAATTCTTCAGCCAAATTCTTACCTGACTACAACAAGCAACAATATGCATTGGAAACTTTTAATTGGTCAATAGCATGATGGGCATTTATGTTTTAATATATAAGAAGATTAAATTAACAAATGCTTAACCATAAATTCATACAATTGCTATAGGTTGGTAGAAGTCAGATCTATCTTTAGCCGAAAATGCTGTGTAATCAGTATAACACAAAACATCTAATCCTTTCATTCATCAAAAATTATATTAGCATTAAGTGATATAAAGAAAAGTGTAAGTATATGTGATTGATCAAATTTATTAAATTCAATAAAATAAAAAAAAGCATAGTTAATCAATTTATACTTACAACAAATTGATATTATCAAGGTTAAGAAATTGAGAGACTTGACCAGAAACAATGTGCTCAAATGAGCTTTTTTTTCTTTTCGTTAATTAAGTAACTATAAATTAGCTAGCATACTTTTATTGATACCATGACACTCTCAAATCTTAAACTTAACTCAGAATTGAAACAAAAATTAATTCGATTAAAACCGAGGTTGAAATCAGTCATCTACTAAAAGAAGTGCTAAGCCTCAAAAACAAAAAAACTATAAATACAACATGGATTTGGTAAAAAAAAATTCAAGAAAACTGTACTAGAACTGCACTAGAACTGATATGTGCAGCACAAGTACTAGTGCTAGTACAAGTACATGTACTATAAAAATGTTGGAAAAACAATTTCCTTTTTAGTAAAAAAAGAAAAATAGCGCTTACAGGGATACACAAAACACAATTCATTCAATTAAATCACAATTGTTCAAGCAAATTCGGAAATAAATAAAAGACAAACATCAAACAAATTCTTATAGTCATTAACTATGTAATGTTTATATATAATTTTATTTATTATTTATATAAATATAAATCTAGATAAATTTTATTTAGATTTATATAAAAATAAATTAATTTACTTCAGCTATTTCTCAAAAGTAACTAAGGTAATCACTGATCGATGCATTAAGTAAAAATGTTCAGCATAGTCAAAAACCTTCACTAAACCCTAATTTAAACTTTAAAATCTAATCCTAGCTTTAATATTTAAGTTAAAAATTTTTTGCTATTTTACATAATTTTACATAGAAATATATATAGATTTATATAAATAGATATGTAAACTCTACATTGGGTTTATAAAGTTTTGTAAAGCTACATAAAAATTTTACATAGTTTTACATAAAAATTCTACATAATTCTACATAAAAACAACTTTGTTATACTATACAGTTCGTTTGTTCTAGTACTAAGTACTAGATGCAAACCTTTGTTTGCTGTATATGCTGGATGTAGTAAATTTTGGTGTAAAATTTTTATTTATATGTTTTTTTGTATTTTGAATAAGATTTGTTTGTCAAATTTTTTGATTTTTTGATTTTTTTTGTATCATATTTTTTGCCGAGTAGATGATTTGATAATTGTTGATCGTCAAAGACCAAAAAGAAAGTTTGTAACGAAAGGATTTGTTTGTTTTTTTGTTTTTTTTTTTCGGCAAAAAATTGTGTTCAATACTTGTGAATATAGTATGTGACTGGTGAATACATTTATAACTGGTATTAAACTTATCGACATGACATGGCTGGTGTTAACCTTATAATATGTTATTGCGTATTTTATTATTTAATATAAATACTATTGCTATCAAACTAATTATACTTTAATTTATTAATAAAACAAATATTCAATAAATACTTAGAACCCAACCTTTTCATTAACTATCATAGGTATAAGTTTGTCTGATTGCTAATAAATTCTATCTAATTTTACATTATTTATACTGATCAGAAGACTTTTTTTTAAAAAAAAACAAAACCAACTATAATAAAGTAAAGAAAAGCTGTATAAAGGTTTCATTAGAACTATAAAACTCAATAGTTAAAAATAAGATCTAATTTTATTTTTTTAAAAAAATTAGCTTAGTAATAAGTTGATTTTATCAGGATTTGAGAAGTTATTACTATACAAACTTTTTTAAATAGACGAGAATTAGATCTTATTTTTGCTATGAAGTTTTATAGTACTAATGAAACCTTCTACAGTCATATTGTTGTGGAGTTACCCAAACTACTGTGTATTCATGGGTCTTTACTATCAATTTTCACTTGCTTAGCAATATATATGATGACTGGAGTATCATGCCAGATACCACCACCAATAATGTATTCATACAGATAACAGTTTATTCACTAAGAATAGCTCAAAGAGATAACGAGAACAAAAGTTAGACACTTCTCCTATTTGGATCGATGACTTATATATTATTACTAATATATATTTGATTACTACATTGTTTATGCAATCACTACTTTAGACTTTTAATTAAATTGTGATCACCTGATTCATATATCATGCATTAATTAGATCACTGACATTCGATCAACATGTATCTGATCACTAATCACATAGGTACCACGTAGCCCTGTGACACAAGCTAGAACCCCAGTAACTTTGTCCTCAAAGTTACAACAACTCAAATCCATCCTACCAAGTTTCCTTATTTTAAAGCAACTGCCAAATACTGCACTAACCAATCCATCATTCCTGATCATATGGTCTAAGTATAGTTGTTTGAAAAATTCTATCCTTCCAATGTTTTCAAATATCATTGGGTTTTGATTCAATCTTCGCAATACACTTTTAATGACCTTTTTACTACCACTTGTTTTCATCTTTTGGCAGCTCACTCTATTTATCCTTACTAAACTCCTCACATCATGCTTAGCCTTTAACATTCTATTCAATATTCACATTGTATTTGGCTGTTCTGGAAAAGCATCTTTTAACCCAATACTTCTTCATTTTTATAACCAGATCCAAGGTCATTACAACCCTTTTCATTTTCATGGTGATTCGCTTTACTATCTGCAGCTTCACCCTATTATTATTAACTTCAAACTTATCGGCACTCAAATTTCCCCATTTCTTCAATGTTTCTACCAAACCCTCTATTAGCGTATTTATTTTCACAACCACATCTAGTGGTGCTTCCATTAACACCATTATTTCTTTATTTTGATTTTGTTTCTTAATATTAATCATTTCTTCAGCTTTACCTATATCTTCAGGTTTTTGATAATTCATGAATACCTTATATTCATTCTTTTCAATTCTATCTTCATGATAATAGCAATATCCAATTATGGATGCTTCACCAGCATCATTCATATTAGTAGATTTTTGACAAGGAATGAATGTCTTACATTTATTCTTTTTAATACCAGCTTCTACAGCTTTTGATTCATTCAATTCATCCTTGTTACTATTGGACTTCACAGATAGGTTTTCAGTAACTATATCTTTCATTTAAGTCGACTTCCTTTTATTCAACTTATTAATGTTTCTATTTTTTTTCCCTTTATTATCGATACTGTCATATTTCATCAATTTGCTTTTAATATACCTTACATTGATATTATCATTCCTTTTTGCACTTAATATATACCTAATATCTGTGATATTACTTTTTCTTTTACCATTATTCTCTTTCATCACATAATTCTTGTCTTTGACAGTTTCATCAATTTTGGATTCTTGTGAAATCACAAACATGGTTTCATCATTATCAGATCAAACTGTACAACAACATTTTCCATCCCTCTACTTGAAACCACATCTTGTTTTCATAATCCACAGCATACCAAGAATGATATCAGAAGCTAATTCATGCTTAACATAAAATTCTTGGACCACTTTAACACTATCAACATCGATTTTAATACCAGAAACACATTCAATAACTTCATCATCTTCATTTAAACATTTCTAGATAAGCTCTTTGCTTCTTACGTATCTCATGCTCAT